CACATTGGGAGGCAGGTGCTTCTCAAAAACCTTACTGTATTTGTGTGCCTATGGAGAAGTAATGGGTGTTTGTTTAGGTATGCACAGTTCTTTCCTGTATTAATCACCCACTATATAAAGACACACTCTTAAATCCACATAGCAGACAGAGGGAACAATTTGCATTCTTTATTTCAATTCAATTTCAATTTAGTTTATTTAAATAGGGACAATTCACGACACGTTATCTCAAGGCACTTTACAGAGACAATTCAACCAGATCATACATTCAGATTGATTTGAAGTTTTCTATCTAATGGAAAGCAGCTGATTGCATCAACTCAGTGACTCGAAGGCAACCCCTTACACCAAGCATGCTTGCAGCGACAGTGGAGAGGAAGAACTCCCTTTTAACAAAAAAAGCCTCCAGCAGAACCAGGCTCAGTGTGAGCGGCCATCTGCCGAGGCCGACTGAGGTGCAAGGAGACAGAAGCAGAGATACAATCAGAAGCAGAGATACAAAAGGCAACTAAACAGCAGTATTGGTAGTAGTAGTGTCTTGCACGTTTAATCATGCAAACCCCCCCCCCCCCCCTTTATTTTTTTTATAACAGCCACAAAAAAAATTTGTGGGGATTTTATCTCATAGAATAGAAAAAAAATGAAAAATTAAAAGAAAATTATTTAAGAATCTAAACATTTTGTATGCTTATGTGTATGGCTAAGTGTTATCTTGCTAATAGATTAATCTGTGAATTACTGTATGTTTTCAATGAATATATTCAAGCTTAAAGCTCCTTAAATAATACTTTTTTACAGAATTAAACTAAGTGAAACTGAAACTTTTCCACTTTTCAACTTTTCCACAGCTGCTCCATCTGCTAAAGGCATGTTTTTGAGTCACTATAGTCCAGTTAACTATTGATAGATTTCTAAATTAGTTTACAATTATTTCAATAATTGTTCTGCCCTACTTATGTACAAACCTACCATAAAACAGTTCACTAAAATGTCTGGCAAGAAAGTAGAAGGACAGCCAGAAAATAAATTGCTGACAGGACTAAATATACCAAGCATTAGTCCAGTCATACCAACTGTTTAAAGAGCTTTACCCTAAGGTTGCATTTACCCCATCAGATTGGCTAACACACATATTCATACACAGATGCAAACGTCAGTTGGCAACATGCAGTGCTATGTGCCCATTTACCCAGGGAAACAATGACATGCCACAGGATAATCCTGCAATAGAACCCAGTTTAAAAATGATTGTGATCATTTTTGTGTTAATTTGCCATATGTTTTGATCATTATTTTTTTGTCTAAACAATCTAATGGCAGACACCACCATATTTCTATGTCAACTTTTCCTTCAAGTCAGAGTCAGACTACAATAATCTAAATTTGAAGTAGTGATTTTAATCCTTCTTGTTAGCATTTGTGTTAACTTGAATTTCAAACGATTAAAGAATTTATCTTTAGAAATAGCAGTACTTCTTTTACCCATGTAAAAATTCCTTTGTGCATCATTCAAGATAGCAATTCACACTAGATTTTATTCTGTAGGGTAGACTAAATATACCAAAATATGATCTCCTAAATGTAATTATTTTTGCATTGCAAAATTGCATGTAAAATCTCCATGCTTGTAATTATCTGATGAAAACAGTCCCACTTATCCAAATCTCTCCATCATGTATCGCCTTCCAATTTTTCAATCTTCTCCCCTCTGTTTGTTCCTGATTGCGAATAATAATCACCATGTGTGATCCATCTGCTGTTTAGCAAACATCAAATGAGTGATATCTGCCAAATTCATTTGGCCAGACATCGTCACCTTCAGCTTATGGAGTGAGCTAACAGCTGAGGGAACGCTGATGAGCCTTTTGTGGCAGACGCTCTGTGAGGTCCAGCCTGTGTTCTTCCTCCTTTACTCTGCTGTTTTTGCACATCTGCTTTGTCTGGTTCTCTTCCAACCTCCTCATCCTATTCTCCTTTTTACCCTCATTGCGCTCCACTAAACCCATTAGCTGTGGTGCACACACAAGGTAACAAACACAGTGTTCCTTATGAAACAGCTGTGGTTTAAATACAGCATGAAGACTCAAAGGGAAATGATGTGAAGGTGATGCCCGAGCCTTCCTGGAGTTTATGTCTTCTACATTTAAAATGGTTAGAAGGAGCAGAAATATGACTCTTCATTTCAGATTTATATAGCATCCAGAACCACTGGCTTAAGATTACAGTACCTTCCAAATAGGATGGGAAACACACCATAGCCAATTATATCTGCTTATCAACTTTATTGATATCCTATTCTAAATCCACATCCTTCAAAATGACATTTGTCTTTCATCTGCAGCATTTAAAGTTTCAGCTTTTCAGGGAAAGCTATCCACAAGGTTTGGAAGTGTTTGTTTATAGGATTTCTGATCATTTTTCCAAAAAAGGCATTTTTTGAGGTCAGGACATATGTTGAACAGGCCAGTCAACAAAACAGAATTGCTCTACAGTTATATTAGGAGAGGGAAAAAACAGCAAACTCAACAGAAATGTAACACCAAAGCATGTATACATTGTTTAAAATAACTAATAAAACTTAAAAAACCAAAAAACGAATAAATCAAATGCACATTGCTATAAACTATGTACAACAAGAATGGAGAGCTTCTCCTATTATCATTGAGGTACTTGGATATGTATATATTGCAAATATTCAATGATAGCATATAAAGTAGGTCAGAGCAGCAGCATTGGCAGTGATATTAATATTGCATGGTATATATTGTATCAGCTTGGATTTTACATATAAGAGCTCATTATAGTGATGGCAAACAGAAATAAACAGTTTCCCCAGTTTCTTTGTCTTCACTTTGATACATCTGCAAAACCCAAAGAACTAATCAATTTATAATTAAATTGGATTTACTTTGTTTTCTTTCAGCTATATATATATATATTTTTTTTTTTTTTCAAACGGGGTGTGCTGGAAAGACACTGACCAGACATGATTTTGCAATAAGCTACAAGAAACATTTAGGCCTCATTCCAATGTCTATGGATAGGCGGATGGATTTACAGCTGCATTTTAAAAATGAAAAAAAAAAAAAAATAAAAAATACTAACTTGATTGTTAATACAATTCATAATAGCGCTGATGATTATCCTTTCATTTTGGCATTCCATTGCTTGTCAATGATTACAAAACAGTTAATTTCTTCTTTTTAGCAAGTAAAACATCTGTAGCCTTCTTTAAGCCAACAAGCAAAGCCCAGCAACAGGTTAATTCAATCCGAGTTCTTCTCTCCCATGTGCAATAATATAGAAGATGGTTTTTGAGGTTTTAAAGCCTTACAATTTTTATTTTTGAGATCTCAACATACCAGAGCCATGCACAAGTCAAATGTGCAAACTCTGTTAACAAACACTTTTTTATTGTGTTTTCAAGAAGCTATTTGATTTATGCAAAGGATTGATTATTTTATTGTAAACACACTGAAAGTATATAATGAGCAACATTAGTTTTTGAAAGAGCACAATTTCTGGGATTTCTTTCATAAGCTGCAGCTGTACACGTGGCACAGTATATTCAGCTGCATACTAAAGTATAAATCAGTCTATGTTCAAATACCTTCTCAGTCAAAAATGACTTGGTAAGAGAAAATCTATGGATGTATGATCTTTGTTATGCTGCCTTATCCAAAGCAATTTGGGATGTAAGATTATATTATTCTTTATATTTCATCATTTCATTCTGATTATTTCTTTGGAGTTAAAGCGTTCATAAAATACAAAGCCAAGTTTACATTGTCATAGATTAATAATGATAGTTCAGTGGGTGAAATGGACGTACAGAGAAGTTCAAACCCCATCGACACCTCCTTTCTCTGCAAATATTACGATTCCAGACTTCCACCATAAAACAGTCGAACCCAAACCAAGCCAAGAGTTGACGTAAACTCAGGGATGTTGCCTTATTTGGTTCTGGCAGGTAGTTTTGTCTCGCCCCCAGCAGAGAGCCATGAGCCGCCCATCCTCAGCTGGAGGAGGGGGGCAGGCGGAACAGGATACCGTCACCGGGTCGGGTTCGGTTGCTCCCTCCCCCGCTGGCTGATGGCTCGGTTCGAGTGCCCGGTGTGTTTCGACTACATGCTGCACTGTAGTCGACCAAAATTCCCTCCAGACTTTTTTTTAGGAATGAAAAATAAGACATGTCCTGTAAAACAGGACATCTGGTCACCCTACCATATCAACAATTTTAATCTTTCAGTGAGTGAGTGCTTGTTGCTACAGTATGATGCGTCTTTGCTCAGCAGCTTCTATCATTGTAAACCAACCAATCAGTGCACAGCTCATCTAAATATTCATGAGCATACCATAAAAGGAAGAAAACCTGTCGTTTCATTCTAGGGCTTTTAACCAGGCTTGCATTAGGTCTCATAGAACAACAAATATGCCATTTTCAGCTCAACCAATGTTACACACCCTATTCAGAGACCTTAAGGACCAGCACCAAATACCCTATAGAATCATTCTATGATGCCTTTAATACTGATATCAAACTATGAATGACATACAGAAACATTAATGTGAATTGGTTTCCTAATCCATTTTCTACATGTCCCACAATTACTGCCAAACATGCTTTCTAGATTATTTCTCCTCTACTTTGTCCCTTCTTGTTCATCATTTACACACTTAAGCAGACCATCATACCTGAAATGTACTAACCCTGGGTACAGTAAAATTATATACATTTTTTTAGGTTTACCGGTACAAATATTAGCAGATTTGCAAAAAAAAACAAAAAAATAAAAAAATTAATGATACAGCCACTCTTTACGTTGTGTTAGAGTAAACCTTTTCTTCCAACCCGTTTATACTTCTAAACTGTGAATCTGAGTTGATTATTAAATGCTCCTCAGTATGACAGATTTATTATCATGGCCTTGTATTGATTAGTATTCCAGCTGAAGACTAATTCAAATGTTTTTTTTCTTACCCCTTCTTATCTGTTCCAGAAATCCGGACAAAGGCCTTCAGTTCCTGATCTCCCGTGGTTTCATCCCCGACACGCCCATCGGCGTAGCCCACTTTCTGCTCCAGAGGAAGGGCCTTAGCCGACAAATGATAGGGGAATTCCTGGGAAACAGCAAGAAGCCATTTAACAGAGATGTCTTGGAGTAAGTGGCAAACATGACAGCTTTCATTACTTTGAGAAACGTGTTTGATAATTCAACACATTTTTGGGTGGGCAAGTCAGGACTAAGCTTTGAATTCCAAAGCTATTTTCACTAACCTAAATCCTCTGCCCTTTCTAATCACATGAAATCTCAAGCATTTCATTTTTATACATTTAGAATACGCAAAGTCAGAGTTGTATTTCAAACCTATTTTCTGCACAGCTGGAAATAAAAAGGACATCTCTGTTTCCCATTATCCCTCAAAAGCATCCTAGTTATCCAAAATTTGTTTGATTGAGAGCAGATAAAGCTACAAGAGATACACAAAAAAATTCTAAAATAAAAAAGCAAAATAATAATAAAAAAAAGTATGGGATGAAAGAACAAAAACACAAACTTAAACTGGCATGATGAGGTGAGGAAGAGGTTCTGTGTCAGAGTAGAATAGGAATAGGTCCATCAGAAAGTTTTGGACAATCCTGTGCTGCAGATTGGAGATAAACCAAAACAGTTTGTTCTTTTTAAGGCTGGTGCAAATGCCTATTATTATGATATCTGATAACAATTCTATAATATGAGCTGATGAGAGTTTTGGGCTGATTCTTGGAACTGATATTGCTTTTTTCCCCTTCCATTTGCATGACGAAAATGACACTTATGCCAAATGTTACAAAGATTCTAAGAAAGGAAAAACAAACAAAAAAAACATATTTTTGCAAATTAAACATAAATAAACAAAAACTAAATATAATAGCTGGAAAATGGAGAATTAGTGGTATTTCACTGTTGCCTATAACTTTTTTTGTGTTATATTTCTCAAAACTAACTAGTTACCAAGACAGTTTTGCCAGATTAAAAGTGAATAATACAAAGTTATCTCATTTTCTTAATAAAGTTCATGCCCCAGATTTAACCATTTCTCCTCCCTTTATTTTAGTTTTTTTTATTATTATTAGTCATTTCCTTTAAATGAAGTAAAATATATTACAAATAAGCAAAAGGATTATATTATTGCCTAACATTCATTTTATCAGTTTTCGAGGTCTCTGATAAAAAAGTACAGCTGCTCTATTTTACATATTTTGAAAGTTTCATCAATCAAAAATACAGCCTTAAATATAGAGTCCATATAAATTATATTTGTGACTTTGGTCACCGTCTTATTTTTAAGTCGGTGCAGAAGGAATGTTCTAGATGTTTACCATAAGGTAGCCAAAAACTGCTGTGAAATTACAATAAGAGGACAATTTGCATAAACAACTAAAATAATATTTAAAAAGCTGTGTATTCTGTATATTGCAATTATTCTGTAAGTCAATCAAAACATTTTAGGTATATAAGATTAAAGCTTCTATAAAATAGTAATGCCATATTTTTATTGTATTTTTTTTAGATGAAGCAGGTGGGTAATCTTGGCTAAGACTAGTCCTTGAAATCCAGAAAATCTACAATACAACTTCTTCTCTACTTTTCCTCAACCTTACATATTATTTTTATTCAGAGGACATTCATTTAAAAGTGTGATGTTGAATCCACAGCTCACCAGCTGTGGTGCATTAAGCAGCATGTGTATGAATGCAGATTTAACATTTGTCAGATCAGAATTGAGTCTCCACTCACATTCATGGCTGACTACAGGATATCCTCCCAGAAGGCATAGGTTACTAAACAACCATGATTACGGCTTCTCCGTCCCTATAGTGTCAGGAACCTCTTCAGCTGCTTTATTTCTGACAGAGATTTGAACAGAATACAGAAATGAAAAGAGACTATTTAAGTATTTTCCAAATTATCTAATTTATTGGCCCAATTAATAATTTTATGTATAGTTTGTTTAAGGTGCTTAAATAATTACTTGATCATTAGAGTTGAAGACTTTGATTACAACTTCATGTACTTGACCTCAGAATTGTTGTTGACTAGATGAGCTTATTTGGCATTGATAGCCATAGCAGCCATTTCACATTCCTTCACGTTTGCTCAGGACTGCATTAAGTCATCGGAACTCAGCCAAAATGTGAATAGTCTCTGGTACAGTCTTCCTATGTGGAAGAATTAAGGGGAAGGAATAATGTAGTTTCACATGCAACGCAGTCTCACAATGAAGTGTACAGACATCAAATTTGTACATATATGTCAATTGCTGAGAATGAAGATTTTTAACAAACGTTTTTTTAAGAATTTTATACAAACATGCGTAAAAAAAAACGTTATACAAACTTTATACAAAAGTGCATGTTCCCTCAAAATGTAAATCCACCCCAATAATGCCATATAAGGCTGCATATAAGTAGGCAGGCTACGACTTCCCACACTTGTCAGAAGGTGTTCATTCATATGAATGGCGTTGAAGACGAAGAAGGAAAACTTTACATGTTCAAAAATTAAAGATCTGCTGAGTCAAAGCTGAGCAGCAGAATTAAAGGACCAGTGAAAGCCAAGTAGCGGGAAATAATTTATAAGAGCTGTAAATGTCATGGTTGCACTGTTACAGAAGTTAAATTAAATAAAAAGATAATTTGATTTGAAAACAATCAATGAAAATCTACTGATGTGGGGAAGAGGTGCGAATTAAGATTTAGATGTTGAATTTGAGTTCATCATTAACCAACACTTTGCAAAATCTAATTTGAATACACACAAACACCTTTAATGTACATCTCCAGACCACATCTTTCATCCCTTCATCGTACTCTCCATCTCTTTCATACGATGCATAGACATAAAAATGTCAACACCAAACTCTAATTTGACAAATTCAGAGAAATCCAAACATTCCACATTTTACGTATTAAAGTCAAGGGAGTGAATTGAATGCAAGTCCTACTCCTTTGGTTATTTTTCTATCTATTTCCATATGTTATTTCAATAGTAGCTTGATCTCACATAGAGCTCACTGACTGTTCTTTATTTTGATGGAATGATAAATCAGGGTCCCATGGATACAGACATGCCAGCTGTAGGTGTGGTGATCAATAGTTCTGTCATCAGATAAAAAAATATGGAATTTATAATAGCAGATTTGCTTAATATATAGGGATTTAGCCTAAGAGCATGTAAAAGATATTGTCAAATTAGTGAAAAGTTAGGTTTGGAAAACAGCTGACTAATTGCATAAGACTTATGCATGAAGTCTGGAGCACTACAAAATTTATTTGCACCTGAGAGAAGATTAGAAATAGGAGCAAATGGAGACTGAGACATTTTATCCTAAATCACTCGTACAAATGATTTAAGAAGCAATTTGTGTTTACAAATGGTTCTTTAATGTGGCATATTGTTTTAGAATGGCTATGAAAAAAAACAACTATTTTATTCCAAAAGGGAGAGAAGACCTAGTAAAGTTTTAAAGCCTGTCATCAGTTTTATTAGTAAGTCATCAAAACATTTGACTCGCTGTAAAACAAACTCAAACGACTCACAGTAAGACAAAAGTTTGCATGTAATTTCAGGTTATTACCCTGATTGTTATTGTAACTTCCTCACATCCTTAATCCTTTGTACTTCTCAAAGCAATATATTTACTTTTTTTTCTTTATGAATTTAAACATTATAACATTTTATTTAGTCAGAATTTGAAGGAATCCCTACCAGGTTGCTGATGTCAGCTCATTCTTTTCTAAAATCTGTACTTTTCCAAAACATATGGCCATCACCTCTAGGTATCAGTGTAGCTTGCAGATATTTTCTCTTACCAGGTCACATGAGTATATAAACCGTATAGATATATAAAGTACTTTCCTCCTTTTTTCTTATTTTTTATATAACCTTGACAGCATCAGATACACATGAAAGGAGAGGGGATATTGAAGAGGAACTTGATGAAGAGTGCAAAGTGTGTGTGAGAGCACTTTTTATAAAGTGCAGTCACAGGAGAGCAGAAGAGTGTTTGCGTCCTAATGTGAAAATCACTCCTGGTGATTTACCAAGTCTGAATACGTTTATATCTGCAGCACTGCTACTCTGAATGTTTGTGCATCGATGAATATATCTTTAAGTATAAATAACAGTAGTTAAAAATTTCAAGACCTCTTATCTGCGTTTGCCATCTCCACTTCACAGCTGAAAGTCATATAGACTTCAGCTTCCTTTACGTATCTATTTACATTTAAGCTTTCAATTCATGTCGTATTTTTGACCAAATGATCTGTCAATTTTGTGCAAATTAGAGGATGGTGGCAACTATGCATTTATGTACATGATTACTCTTTATTTAACCTATTCTAAAGTGTGCATGGTAAATAGGAGAAGAAAAGGGTTTATGTAGTCAGGCTATATACAGCCTGTCATCTGACATTACATTAACAAGAAGTGACAGCTGAGAGAGAAGGCAGAGAGGTGGTGGAGGGAGGAAGTGAGTCATGAAAAGGCTGACCAGAGAGGCTCAGAGAATCTAGAGGAGGATCAAATACAGCTCAGTGCCAACCTAACCTTTGAATTCCGTAAAAGTTCAAAAAACATCAGAATAACCTTTGAATGTATTATATTTTATTTTTCATAACACCAAGTGATTAAATAGGTCTATTCTCCAACATTCATAAGAATGAAATGGCTAGTAACATAACCTGTTTGTTTAGCTGCCTCTAAACATGATCATTGTGTTGAAGTTATAATGGAGGATTTTGACGGATTTTTGAAAAGACTCGCCCTCTCCACTTTAAAAAAAATATGCACATGAATAAACCTGTACCCACTCCCAAGAGAGAACATCTATTAAACGGGTTTGAGAGCACGAACACGAGCCCATTTCTCCTCAAGCACGTACTGTTTAAAAGGTGTGGTTTGCATCGCTCATACAAGCTTACTTTGCAAAAGAAGATTTGAAATTTTTCCACTATGTCAGACTCACCACTTTAGGAGGACCTCTTATTTTGACGATCCACCCGGAAAAAGAACATAATCCACTTTACCTTTAAGATTATTACAAATTCAGAAATAGAAAAATATGCATAATAAAAAATACTTTAAAGATCTTTTATGGTTCCGAACCTTTACAGTGGTGTTGGGCTATTTCTGTAGAAGAAGCGCTTATCGAGCTCCTATCTAAAAGTTAAGCAATGACTAGAATGCTCATTTTCAACTGACCAGATTACAGTGCAATAGTTAGTTATATTTAATTATAAACAAATGGTTTGCCTTATGCTAATGTACAAGAGCATTAAAAATGAAAAAAAAAAAATCTTAGTATGCAAGTTGCACATCAGTACATGCATACATGTTTTATTTAATTATAATAATGTCAGTATCTTGTTTTATGGTAGTGAAAATTAACCTGCTTTTTCTTTCTAATTGTTTTAATCCAGCTACAGTGTATAAATGGCCTGGTACAGGTCATTTTATTGCGTCTCATTCAAATTATAGTCAGGACCTTAACCAGGATAATAACTTTTCAGACTTTATATTTTACTTAAGATTATTGTCCTGCTGCATAACCTTTCGGTTTAACATCCATCCATTGATCTTCTATACCTACTCGCCTGTCGGGGTAATGGGAGGGTGGTCTCCATCCTCAGTAGCCTCTAAGTTAAAGGTGGGGTATTCCCTGGACAGGTTGTCAGCCCATCAAAGGGCAACACCTTACATTACCACCTAATGTTTTCCTGTATTTAAAGAGATAGTGATGTTTGCTGGTTAATAAAGGAACTGACTAGTGACGAGTATTTAATAATAAGCAAACAAGGAACTAACAGGAATGATTGCAGAAGAGAAGGACATTGAGGAGAGCAGAGTAATGGAAGGAATAAGAAATTAACATTGACAACCAGAGTTTATAGACAGAGGAAAGGATGGAGATTGACCTTAGATGTAGGATTTGGAAAAACTGTGGAGGACAGCGAGACAGAGGGACTGATGAAAAGTGGATAATTAACATAAAGGGAACTAAACTAGACTCAAAGGGTAAAGCAAAGGAAATCCAGAAACTCTGATCTGGAGAAAATACAAAACCTATTAAATTATTGAAACTGAAACTAAACCTAAAGGAATTAACCTAAGTTTAAAACAACACAATTTTATTAACAGTGAACAAATATACATTAATCTATTAAGACAAGACTTCTTGGCAAATACATAGATAACAAGGAAACTATCAAAAGAAAGGAAAACCACAACCCCAAACATCCAAGGACTTTAGAGCACATGTCACTGAATTTAAGAATTCTAGTTTGTTCTTCTGAATCAGTTTGTACTGTATCATAGTCGAGGGATACACAGTTAGATACCATTTTTTAAACTGAATCAGATTTGCCAGTCTAGCCTGGTTACTACACTAAAGTTGAAGTTGTCATCTTACACATACGGAGCCCCTTAAGGGACATGGAGGGGAAAAAAAGAACTTTTCGGAGATCACGCAATACTTTTGTGAGATCCCGCAATAGTTTTGCGAGATCTCGCAAAA